ACATTCTTTTCAAGCATTAAAGTTTGTGTCGTTAAATCCTCGCAGACATCTTTTGGTTGCTTAGCAACAGACGCCTGGTTCCCTCATCACGTTTACGGGGTACCAACTGTTCTCAGTTTAGTTGTGTAGGCATAGTTATACATTTTCCCGGTGCATGGTGACTTTAGCCAGCTTTTCAAACCAAATAAAGCCAGAAAGAAAAACATAAAGCAAAATGCTCACATCCGTGTGAATATACTCATTACAGTACACAACATTTTCTTTGGCTGTAACTTTCAGAAATGGATGGATTTGGGAGTTAGAATTCTACAGAAAATATTGTTACACTTCCGTGTTTATAAATGTTTGGTGCTCATAGTCATAGGTGCAGGAAAAACCAAGACACTTTTTTGTTCTTGTAGTCTGGTTCCCTGACCCTAACGTCCGACGAAACGGAGCAATTTATAGACGTCGGGGAATTGTCAGGTCATGAACCAGGCTAGCTGGCTTGCACCCGTTCACGGATGTGTAACCGATTGCTAACAAAATGTCGACAAAATAAATTTGGTAAGTTGGGCGCAGTATTACGACCATCGTTGGAAATTGCACCAAAATTCCACTTTTCTTGAGAAGACAGCACACCAGGTGCAAAAATTACACAGGATGCTTGAGACTATTCACTTACAGTCAGGTAAGAAATTTCGTAATAATTTGGCATTTTTATGTCTGCAAATGTTGATTGTTCCCTTTAAGGCTACATGTATTGCATAGGACTATATGTTCTAGCACCAGCAGTGTAAACTTGTGTTAATATATTTGAAGTTGCTGCCACGTCAGAAAACGACCATACCAGCTATTTCACCAAATGCAGAGAATATCCAGGTCTTCTTTGCAATTCTGTATAATTTTGAAATTCAACTAAACTGTGGCTTCATATTGCGGATTATCTTTCTTCCTGCTTCGCCATCTGTAACGTGATAATTTCCTGCGTCCTGGTTCAACAACACCAAGACCTCATTTTACATCCTGCTAAAGCTGGCAAATAAAACTACATTTCTTCTTCAAAATGCCTTGCACGACCTTGGCCGTCTTACTAACAAACAAGCAATGCCACATAACTTTTCACAGACTCCTAATCAACTCACGTATTTGTCTTCCTGTATGTTAAGCCTCACAAAAGGCATCTTCTACTTTCTAGTACGAGGCATATATACATGTACCATGTATATTTATGTCCAGAAGAATATTTGTTGTTGTTCTGCAGCTCAGGGGAATTAAAATAGGCTGCACTCGCATACCGTGACCTCAGCCAAAGGTCACAGACTGTAACCGACATACACGCCCCGAGCTTGATACGAAAACCAGCATCTATTTTTGTGTCAAAAAGATAACACATCCCCAAATGATTCATGACTATATGGGGCATACCGAATGTGCCTTAAAGTCATCAGAGGCATCAAGAGTCTCGTAAAGTCATTCTGCATCATACGTCTTTGTTCCTTTGTTCAGTGCAGAATGTTTAGTGAGCCTTATTATATATTTTACTCCACGACAGAAAGTATATATGACTTGATATGTATAGAAACACTACAGTTTCTACAGGGCAAGGAAATTATACGTTTTCTTAAACGTGCCAACCACGTATTGAACAAACCTATTTGCCTATGGTCTTAATTTTCTTTCATTTGTTTAGATGATATACAACAGTTTATGTATTCTATTTCTGAAACATAACTTCAAGTATCGAGGTGCTATAATGGTACCAAATTTAATAATCCTACGAGATAAATAAAATGGGTTATCAAAAATCAAACTGATTTGAGGTCAATATCCAGGTCCGACTAAAGGTCGATTTTGTCTATCTGATGGGCCACAACTACTGATCCTTTTTTTCACAAATGATTTTAAGTTTAGTAGGTTGGTATACGGCTACAAAATGATACAAAATACCAGATTTGAACATTGACAGACACAAGAAGACTATTGATAAAAGAATGAACGTTGGTAATCAAAACGGTAGACGGTGCATCATGAAGAAAACAAATTGTCAGCATCCAAAAACACAGACCGAACGAATGACTCATGTAAATGCCATCCACCATAATAGATCCGTGTGTCACATATGTACATAAGATCAGTCCTGCATTTTACAGCATGTTTCATATTCATGTATACAACAATTTATATCCTATTATAGAATAATCTAATACAAAAAAGTGCAGGGTAGCCGCTTGTGTCTGCTACCTTATGGGATTTGGTCATTCATAAACAGGGAGTTAAAATACCGTATTCAAGTGCCTGTATATTTACTCTCGGTAAACACACACATGTGGGTGCATGATTTCTCAAGTGCTGTTCAAATCTGTTTTATTGTGATGTGTGCACATGCATAAAAGTCAAGTTTCGTATATATTTTTCTGTAGATTCTGATCTGACGCAAGGAGAGTTTTAGAGAGTTCATTTGGTAACTATATAGCCAGTTCTGAAAAACATCAGGAACCTTGGAAACAGAAAGCATATTTTTAAAGTTGGGTATTAAAGGCAGGCCGCAGAACTTATTTCGAGCAATTTGAGAGGTCTCAATAAAACATCAACATTTTGGTAGTCTTAACTTATACATTCTGTTGATGACTTCAGTATCATGGGTGGCAACAACATAGCATCTGGACTTTGGGCGTGATCCCTGGCTACATGGCATGTACGGCTTTATGGCTTCTGACTAGCGCCCCTAGCTTGAAAAAAATGACATTGATGGGATGGGGAACCGCCAACATAGGGCTGGATAGCTCAGTTGGTAGAGCACCGGAACGGCAATCCAGAGGTCGCATATTCAAACCCGCTCCAATCAATTCCAGATTCCACTTTTAAATTATAACAAAATCACCTATTTATGAGGACTCTATTTTGACTGGATCTATCTGAAATAACAGGACGAGACTGCCCCTTTAATGACCCCTTTCAGTTGCGAGAGAATCGTGGGAAGAAGATTCTCACCATTGTCAAACCAGCTAAATAAGGGAAGGACACAGTTGGTTGCGCATACCGTGGCAGGCATACAGTATAATTCAAGCCTCCAAGGTTCGAAACATCTATGGGAATGCAAAGAAAACTGTACGTAGTCGCCAGAGCAGAGCAAAGCAAAGCAAAGCAAAGCAAAGCAACCAACCACACGTCAGTAATCCAACCATTGTTCGAAATTTCTATAGAAACTGGTTATTTACAAAGTCTGGGAACGAAGGAAACACAATGCAGCATGTGACGTAATGCAAGTGGTTTTTCCTGGATGCCCAAATATGGCAAGAAACATCTCCGATTTGATCAGGGAAGCAAGTTGGCAACGTCCAACTAAACTAAAGAGTATGATTCATATAGGAGGGATGACTTATCAGGAGTTAAATAACCGAGAAAAACTTTTGAATGCTATTCTCAAAAGACTTCCTATAAAAAACAAGCAAATCTCTGCAAGAGAAGTATTCTTCATACAGTTCTAGAGTTAGGTATATAACCAAATTCAGTTTCGACAACCGATTTTTAGAGAACCGTCGGTATATCAAACACAATACGAACCATGTTTCTTATTTCTGTACGATATAGATTAGATGAATTTGATTGCTTTAATCTGTTTAGGACCACAGGGACTTTAAAGTAAAGGAAACTGGTATAAAAGGAAGGTTACAGCTCACAGAACATAGGCCTTATTTTACATGCAAAGTAGCAAATTGTATGTGAGGGGGCGTGTCCAGTTTGAATCCTTACTTTTTCTATGGCCCACTCCTTATGATTCAGACCATGGAATGAATTACATAACGCAGACTATGTAAGAGGAAGTGAGGCCACTAACCAGAAGACATAATAGCAGTTGCACTGATGATTGCACATATAATGTCATTTGATGTCGTGCACTTACTTCAAGAGAAATAATAGATATTTTTAACGGGCGATGGGCTGTTAAGCAGAGTGACATTTTGGACGTGGATAAGTCCGAAAATTTGAGACTCTCATTCTCAATACTGTGTACGAGACTCACAAATATTAAGGTACTGAAAAAAATGCAATACAATAAAATAGACTGGCACAAGAAACAGCCAGTCCAACACACCTTTAGGTCTGCATCAGTCAACTGTGTCAAAAGAAACATCTGGTACCTAGTCTATATTTCTACACATCTTTCGATGGTCTGCCACCAGACCACTGAAGGGTCAATCTTTTCAAACTGTTGGACATGACTATGTATACTACTAGTCTAGTCTTTGGCTTCAAATTGAAATCAGTAGGCTTCACTCTCAGGTGCAAAATGTAAAGAGCGAGTAAAGTTGGCCTGAATTTGTTTTGCATGGTTTTCTGCACTCAATGTCCCAGTCTGGACGTGCATATATAACTTCTTTATGTTTGAAAGTTGGACGAACATGATATTTAAAATTCAGATATTAACTGAACTTAGAATTTGAAAATAGATGAAAATACATTCAAAACGGAAAGAATGTTGCATCCTGACGCCACTTTCTCCACAGTACTAGTCATAATTATCTCAATGAAGCCTTTGAAGGTCAGTCATTGCAAAAAAATATTTAGAATACATGAATCTGAAATAGGAAATATTTCCGATTTTGTCAGAAAATACTTTGAAACTGCACTCGACTTATCTCCATAGACTTCGTGGATACTATGATTATTTTTTTTTTACTACATTTTTTTCGTTATCTCTCCCATTCGTGTTAATTGTTTTTAAAATTCAAAATGCAGTGATTGTGGCGTCGGGATACTGCATTCTACCCCGTATGGTGGAAAGATTCCCATATCTGGCCAATACTAATTTTCCCTTCAGTGACCTATCGGCCATCAGAAAGTTATAATATGTCCTAGAAAGTCCAAATTAGCAGGGAAAATAGTGAAGTATTTACTGAGAAAACGAAATTGTCAGACCAGTCTCATAGGGTTTGTGCACAGGGTGACAAGTGATGGCCAGATATGGGAATCTTTCCCGTATGGTTTTCATTCAACATTTATCCAAGACTTCCTACCTTGTTTCATGGAGACGATTTTGTTGTTGCTGAGGTTATAGAAGACACCCTGTGGATAGCTATCCTCCAGTTTGAAGAGTGCCTCCTTGCCCACAGTACCTTTCCTGGTCATCAGCTCACCGTCTTTACCGCCCACCGATAAGTACTTGCCACCGTTCTTGAAGGCCAGGTTCTCACCGTGGAACTCGATAGCGAAGAGGGCTTCTTCGGACTTAGCCGCCCTCAAGGAGCCGTCAGCGTTCAGGAAGCGATCATCGGAAGCCTGGATGAGGTACTTGCTGGCCGCCGCATCGTAGATCAGAGTAATGACGGCATCCCCACCCCAGGGGATGTTCTCGTTGAAGAGGATCTGGCATGTCTGGTCTCTCTCCAGGTCCAGGTGGGCAAACTGCTGGCGCTGGACGCTGAAGATGTTGACCTGAGGGTGGATGGCCAGCTGGATGCTCCAGGACTCGGACTCTCCGACCGACTTAGACTTGCAGGTGGGCTCGCCGGAACCGCTCAGGTAGTCCAGCGTCTCGGCCTTGATGGCGAACTTGCCATCACCCTGCGGCTCCACTTTGAACTTCTGCATCAGGTCCGGGCTGGTCTCCTCGTCCATCTTCTCCGCCGTCACCTTGCCGTACTTGTCATAGGTCAGGCGGTACACGGTGGTCAGACCGGACTTGGACACCTTGTTGGACAGGTAGAAGAGCTTGCCGTCTGCGGTGGCTGGGTTCAGGGTCCAGACCTGTTTGCTCTTCAGAGAGGTCCCGTTAACATTCACCGTGCCCAGCTCAGTCGTCAGGTATTTCTTGGACGAGGCGTTGATCAGCCCTGCGTCAAACTGCAGCACATCCCCTCCACTTACGGTTCCGTTAGCTGCCGACATGATTGGAATGTCCTCGTCTCGAGTGCCGTGGCCCAAAGCTGTATGCCAAAAGTAAATCACAGACTAACAAGTGTCTGAAACCGGTCTTCACACTGCAGCTGTACTAGCACCAAAACTCCACTTTACCGACTGTTCTGCTGTAAGTTCTTTTCCGTACGAGTGGTGTACACGCGGGATTTGTCAGGCTACAATCTGATATAATTATTCTCATGGAGTGATGTCTCATCCACTACGTGCTCGAGTAGTGAGTCAGCTTTCTATGGTATAGCCCTAACCCCTTTCCAATGATATGATCCACACCGCGAGTTCACCCGGCCCGACAGGAAACAGTTTAGTGACTGTGTTGGTTAATGGGCGTTGGTTGGCACTGTCACGTGACCGGCACCACTACCACACACGCACAAAGTTCCGTGTAAGGGGGCCAACCAGTCGGGTGCCCTCGTAAATTCTGCACCCGTGCAAGGAATGCAGACAGGCTTGTATTATGTGCATCTGTTTGTATTGTACACGTGTATCTCAGCGCACCATTGCAATGCATTGCATCTATAGTTACACAGTATCGCTGTACACGAACTCCGGTGACTACTGAGCCCTGTCATATGCTAATGTCTATCCTGTGGACCAATGGCAGACTAGCTGACGTCATTCGATGCTAGTCATGCGTGACGCGCCATGCCACTTCGATTCAACGCCTGGCTGATTAGCATGAGAATACAACAGTATCGATCATCTATATTTGGACGAGTGTTGGGTCAAATATTGACATGTAAATAAAACTCCCGATACATTACATAACCATTTCAAAACGTGGTAATAACCATGCAGTAGGATGATAAAAGAAGTTTTAAAACAATTTAAACAAAACATATATGCGATTGGTGATAAAATACAAGGAATCATTTCATAAAAACAAGAGTCTCGTGATGTTCAAAGAATTTGAATCTAATCTAACCGTTTACCGAAACCAAAAAAATCAAAACATTTGGAAGAAAAAGTGCTTGTTAATTAATGCTTTAAAAACAACTGAGCAAATACAAAATTGTCATCAAAATGTTGGCTCGCATCTTTAGGCTCCGTAACGCGTGGCTAGTAAACAGCGCAATTCACATACAATTCTAAATTTTGCGCATTACAATTCCTGGGTTTACAAAAAAAATATATGACGTATTGACGTAATTCACCATTTTACATCGCTACTGATAAAAAAAAACCTCTCAGTGAACTCCCATCGAAGGCATTGAACCTGAAGAAAATAATGACAAGTGGAAAAGGGGTAAAGCGCACCAGGGATTACTGAAAACAGCCGTGTGTTTGTTGTGAGAAATGCAATACATGTGTATAAGAATATGGAAATCATTGGCTGTGATTCATTATGGAAGTATGTTTCGCACAGGTATTGGAGGTTATTACAAACCGCTTGCCAGCCGTTGTGGTTGAGATTGCAGGCCAGTGAATAGGTCCAATGTTGTCTTTACCGACAAAATCTTGATCTGCAACCCCCCTCCTCCCCCCCCCCCCCGAAAAAGGGGGATCTTTTAAGAGAACCGCGCCTGAGCCTGGTAATAAAGTCAATATATTTCTAAACAAGAATGTTTACATTTAAATGCGCCTATAAATATAATGGGAGTGAAACGCGCATCAGGGGCGGATCTAGCTGTCAGGAAACGGGGGGGGGGGGTGATGTGGGGGGGGGGGGGGTAGATGTGGGTTGAGTCCAAGGCGTGGCGAAGGCATGTCCTGCTAGGGGGGTCTCGGGAAATGCCCCAAGGGAAAAAATGAAAGCTACGGTGATTTCTCCTGCATGCATTCTAAGGCAATTCAAGAATAAATTTAGGAATTTTAGCTTTCCGTTTAGAATTTTGGTCCCATTTTACTAATTTCATAACAGGGGTTGCAACCTCCCCCCCCCCCCCCTTCGAACCGCCACTGCCCACACAGTTCACCGTTAATTCATTGATAATTTGTTTTTTGACCTCGCAGGGAAATTCCCCACAGAAAAGGTGAGAGAAGATCGCAATTATGCTGCTGTTGTCCCGCCTTTCGTGAATTCGTATTTGATAACAATATCCCATGTGGCGGCTGCTGATTTAGTTGCCATGGTAACTTATCCAGCGTATTACGTCATCCCATAAGTTTTACCTTGTTTCAGTATGGTTAATAGTTAATAAGTATTCAAATGGAAGAAAAGACATGCATGGGCCAGATGGAGGTACTCTTATGCCTAAATCCTGTCGGAACAAAAATCAGTGCTGTCGTTGGATTACCGATGTGCAGAGTGCGCGTTAAAGGGATATAGGATTATTTGCTTCTCATGCATTTTGTTCGTTTGCAATAATAACACTATTCAAAATTCCAAAACAAAATGTTTAAAGGGAAGATACAACATTTGCAAACATCAAAAAAACGAAATGATCAAATTATCACGAAATATCTTACTGGATTGAGGGAATGACAGTCTAAAGCATCTTGTAAAATCGTGGCTCCTGGTGTGCTTACAATTTCAAGAAAACTTGTATTTTTCCAACGCTGGTCAGCCGACCAGCGTTGGAGAAAACTGGAGTTTTCATATTAAGTTATTCCGCGTTTTCTTTGCAATTTTAATCACACACCTGTGAAGAGGTACAAGCCAGCTAGACCGATTCTCTGGCCTTACAATTCCCCCAAAGTCTATAAATTGCTCCGTTTCATCTTAAGAGGGGTTGGGGAACCAGACTACAAGAACACTGTTGGTTTTCTTGGATTTTCCAGCATCTCCGAGCCCAAAACGTGAAGCAAGTCAATTTAACAGTTTTTGATATAACATACTATATACACCAAATCCATTTATTTCTGAAAATTGCAGCAAAAGCAAATGTTGTACATTCCCTTTAAAATCTGATCTATCAGGGAAATGGACTATGAGTCAATGTTGAAAAGAAAAATGTGCACTCTTGCATTATGGGCTTGCAATTGGCTACCGTGTCGTGTTTTTAATAAAAAGAAACATGAATACCTGTTTTTATCATCTCCGTGAATTGGGGCTACAATATCTTATGTCTTATAACCGCTGAAAATGAAGCTCAGCTAAGAGAAGATGCACTTTTGATATTAACATCTCCTGAGGGCCGAACAGCGGGCTTGGGAGAATTCTACCGCAAGATGATGCTACTACATCATCGGTATCATCTTTCCGTATAATGACGATGTCCTCCCGTCTTGAATGTAACTCATCCCCACGTGGTTCTTGTGAGTCATTGCGCCTATTTTGTCTCTGTCATGCCCCAGTTTTACAGACACATAAATACATTTTCTCGGTTTCGTTCTATAACTGTGTAATGTATAGGCTTTATGCCTATATCAGTGCATGTAAGGTGTGATACACAAAAAGCTTTCGCCCCTTTGTATTTTTCTAGTGGGTGTATAACTTTGACAGTTTTACTTTAGTTCAGCCCATGTTTTCCATTTATGTCTTAGAGAAACACATCTAGCTTCCTTCATTTTTGCCCTGTTCTTTTAAACTAATCCGACATTGTGTTTAGAAACTGCAAGTCATTCACAATATTAAAATATTTACAATATAAAAGCCCAGTGTTGCGATTAGTGTAATTACACAATTGGAAAATCGGAAGACTAAAATAGAGTATAACGCATGTCGATGTCATTTTACAAAATTTCCTTGTGTAATTATAACCATACCATATTAGGCATGCAGTAAGCTACCTTGCAACCACAGGGGCATACTCCGTTAAAAAAAAAGTTACAACAAAAGTAAACCTCAAGTATAAAGAAAGTGTAGGCATATGAGGTCACAACCCGTGCAGAATTCAATACTGTGACTCAACGGTGTTTTCCCATTTTATTTGACAACAGGCCGGACCTGTTTTCGGGGTTGCAGTATCCATTGTTGTAGCCCAGCCCACAACAAGCCCACAGGGTCTGATAGGCATGACGTGGGCACAAAAAATACACAAAGCAAGATCACGGTCAGTGACACATGGATGTGTATTCCCCAGTCATTTTCAACTTTCACAAAATCCGGGTCGATGTAAATTGGGCACAAGAAGATTAGAGAAGAATCATGCTTTCCAGAGGGAGTATTTGTGACGGTCTGAGAAAATGATGGTGTCGACGTTTCGGGCAATATTTCCGGACAGTCTCAGGCGAGCACGTGGTAGAGCGTGTGCGGTGGAAATTGTTAGGCAGTGACAACATTTTACTGCATAATCTTCTATAATAGCCCGATTCACAATAGTGGGACAGATAGGGTGAATATTTGGGGAAATTAAGCCTTTATATGTAGAATAACAAAGAATTTTCAAATTTTCAAAATGGCTGCTTTTGCTTGTTATTCTGTCTTTACCTGTATTTGTTTTAAAAGGACAAATCTGCGATGGCCCTATAGCAAAATATCTTTGCTACCGTATACTAGTGGGGTTATTCTTGAATAACCACACTTGTATCTTCATTCAGTTTCCAAAAACAAAAATGTCATGTGAACGTGCAAATGTATCAACAAAATGACCACCCAATAATACCTTCTACATAGGCCTATGTATATTGGTCAGTAGTAAATAGATTTAGAATTGCAAAAAAGTTCGAAAAAATTACGTCTTCTGAATATTGTCACCAATATTTGGTACGTCCTCGACCGTATCGATATCTCATTTAATCCAGAGTTCAGGTTTTCACACCAAAAAATAAACTACCCAACGCCTAACAGTCACTCGGCGACATTTGCAGAACACTTTCACGGATAGTCCTAGTAAACCTTGTGAAAAGAGTTAGCACTTCGAGTTTCGAAAACAAACTATCCTAGCTTTTCTTTATAACATCCTATACTCCGGTAACAATTACGACTAACTACCGTGAGCATCGGCCAGCTGAGGCCGTCACCTATGGGCGCTAGCCCCGTCAGATCGTCCCACCTGACACGCCACCTGGGCGAGATTTTCTCGGGACCAATGTTTTTCTCCAGCCAGTTTGAATATGAATGCACTATTATATTCCACTCAGTCCCGTTTCGATTAAAATTCTCGGTTGCGGATCGGAGTACACTTTTTTGGTGTGAAAATGTGAAGTTCTGGTTTCATTTGGGCTTTGTGGGGCACTGGGATAGGAATCATAACTCCTTAAATATGCGGATTCAGCAAGTTTGCAAAATAACAACTTTACAAGGAAGAGTCGGTCTACAGACCATTTTGGGGTCCCAAATTGAATTGTATATCGGAGAGCACATATTATCAAAGGACCTGTTTCAGCGGTCCATCGTTCACCTTTGCGGTGGAGTGGAAGGGACTTTTTTTATACTTTCACTCATGAGTGCTTCCACTCATGAGTGCGGAGGAATTTCCAACCAAATTATTTAAAAGTCTTTCTATTCCATATTCTGAAGGCAGTATAAAATAAAGGTAAACATTTTGGGCGCAAAAAGTCAAACTGGCAAATGCAAGAGGCAAGACCCTGCGAAGTGGCCTCTTGATAAGGGACAAAGTGGACTTTGAAATAACGGTTTGAGTTAAGGTCATGAAAGCTCTTAATAA